CTGTTTTCCACTTCATTCTATCTGGATCTCAGATCTGGTCACTGGAATTTATGATTAGGATGGGGCTTCCATGCATGAAAAAAAGTGTTTGGTACCTAGGGGTGGGCATCTGTGAATAAAAGTGGTGAGTATAACGTGTTTGTGTGTGTGTGTGTGTGTGTGTGTGTGTGTAGGCATGTTTCTGAGTTCATTGGTACTTATCCTAACTCTTTCCTTTAATGTTTTAGATAATTGAAAAACAGTATTGACTTTTAAATTTGATGACACAGCTGGAATTGTTTTCTGAAGTAAACTTGCTGCAGCTACTCAGCCAGGCGACCCAGAACAGGCCCATCCCTCTATAGAGCTTTGTGGGGAAGCAGCACGTGCCTCGGTTGCTGGAGGGCTGTCGCTTAATTTGTTGTCAAGAGCAATGTCATTAGTGGCCTGCTACTCAGTGTGTGGGGTCCCTAAAAGCTGGCCCCCTGCGCCTTGCTGATATTTGAGAGGCACTAGGGTGAGGCAGCCCTCCCATATTCTGCCTTGGCCAGTCTGCCAGATGCCTAGGAGATAATTAGGCCCCTTTATATAATTTGTTCCCAAGATAACAAGACAAAAATTCCAACTTTAATAGCATTTTGTACCACCCTCACGACCCAGCTCTATTAGCAGCCTGTCCACAGTGACAGCGGAATGTGCTAATAGGCTCCAGCGAATGGATTCAGATGTGGAGAACATGAAAAACAACTTTTCCTTTGTTTAGAGGCTGTCAGAATTCCCCACAAATGCTTGCTGTGGGCCATTGTCCTGGGAGCTATTTGTGCTGGTAGAGTGTCTTATTTGGTTAAAGAAAAACCATAAGATAGCATCAGGAACAAATAACACGAAGGGAACACACATCCAACAATGTTCAGGGGCTGAGGAACTGTGGACGGAAGCAGGGGTTCAGCTGAGGGCCAGAGTTACTTGATATAGGGAAAAATGTTTGTTGTTTTTAAGCTCTTCAAGACCAAAGAAGCATTTGACCCAGAACCTGTAAGTGAATAAACCATTCCTTAAGCTATTTTCTTTGGAAGGAAGTGGTTGGAGCTGGGGAAAGGGTAGGCTTGTGAGGGGTCGGTCCATGGCCAAAGGACAGATTGATCATTAACTCTTTCAAAGTACTTGAGAATTGTGTTTAAAGTTGTGTTGTGGTGTCTTATAAATCATCCCCTCCACAATGGTTTCCTCCATTGCATCCTACCTGAAGCGACTGAGGTGTACTGTGGGTTGGAACTCTGTGTAGTCCCCTAGTCAGGGGTAGGGGTCAGGGTTTCCCTAAGGAGTGAAGAAGTTCATGTAGCTGCCGACTAGGCAACACACTTTTGTTGAGGCTTGCTAGCTAACAGAGTGGGGAATGTGATTATTACCTTGGTGGATGACTTGCTCACGAGACAGTGTCAGACCTTAAAACTAGGATCTAAATTCCAAGTGGCCTTGCTAGACAAGAAAAGTGACCTGAAACCGAAGTTGAGAAAGAACAGGTCCAGGCCCATTCGCTAGGGAGGAAACGTTCTGTGCAGAAATCCAAGGCCAGGAAGAGAGCAGAGAGCATGAATCAGCAACATCTTCACACTGGGCTGTTCTTTGTGCTCAGATGATACTCTGTAGGCACAGCCACTAGGACATTACGTGTGAGTTTCCTTCAGGGATAGCAGATTTGCAGCAAATCATCCAAAATCTCAGCCAAGCTTTTTTGGTGGTGAACGGCAAGCTTTCTCAAGGTGGT